GGCCACTGTAAGTGGCTCACACTGTTCTGTAACCTGCGAGTAAGCTCTCCATTTGAAGGAGTCGCGCGAAGTCACGCGAGATTAGCACGCAAAAGGAGACGCGAATGTCAGGGGCAGTCGCTTCGCTCGCCGTATAAATTGAAGAGCCTGATCGCGGGCTAGCTGTTGTGGTATCCTTGCCTCTTTTTCTCTCTTTTTTGTTTCCTTCTGTTCTTTAATCATGTTGAACGAGGTAACAGACAGGTTATTGTGATAAAATTGCCCAGGGAGGGGGGTACCCCGACTTCCAACCCCTCACTCGTTTATATATCATTTGTGACAGAAAGGTACCCATTTCGTACACCTTCCACTGATAAATGGTACCCCTTTCACATACTTGTTTTGAACGCTGCGTCTCTTTTAATTTCTGAAAAAACGCACTGTCTTTCAAATATGAATAGATCACTAAACGAGAACGTGTTCTTGTTCTAAAATGCATCTGTTATCCCTTTTGGGCCTTTTTACGGACCGAAATGACAGATTCTCTACCCTCCCTACCCTTTCATATACTTCAATAACCGAAATCCCTACCCTTTCATATATCTGAAGCCTGAAAAAGGTCAGTACTCCTTACGGGCGGAGCCTCCCCTCCCCGCATAGGCCATTAAAGGGAGGGATAATCTCCGGGTAAGATTGTCAGATTAAACTTGCACCTTTAGTTAAAGGGGCCACAGCCCGGGGGGGGCACTTTAGGAATTTCTGGGTGGGGATGTGCCGCTGGGAGCCTGGAACCCTTAACCTTTACCAGAGCTAGTTCAGCTGAATTTTGCTACCCTATACTAGAGTAAACTTCCCAAATCCCCCTATCCTAGAGTAGCTGTGTACCTAGTCTAGATAAAATCTTCAACCAACTGATCAGTTTCTTGAAAAATGATACCCTATACTAGAGTAAACTTCCAAATCCCCCTATCCTAGAGTAGCTGTGTACCTAGTCTAGATAAAATCTTCAACCAACTGATCAGTTTCCTGAAAAATGATACCCTATTCTAGAGCCAAACGCTCTGATTTATATACCCTATCCTAGAGTAAACTGCTTGAAAACCATACCCTTCACAGCGGCACATACCTATATAGCCCATATATGGCAGTACCCCCCCCGGGGGCCACAGTAAGTGGTTTGCACTGTTGTGATATCACTGCCTCTTTCGTGCCGTTTGAATTATAAAAATTCATAAATTTATAGATTTCCTGCCTCCCGAAAAACCAACATTGGTCAACTTTTTTGATTTATAGATATATTTTTTTCCAGTTGTTTGGTTTTCTTCTTGACAAACGGAAACACCAAGCTGCAGTAATTTTACTCATCGCTGCCATGTCTGTTCAAGGAGTAATGAACCTTAAAGTACAGTTTGTAAGTACTATTACTCCAAACAAGCTCGTATGCGAACGTTGTATCGAATGCATTGGAAACGCTATCACTTATTTAATTGGCTGTTGCGAAGTTTCGCCAGGAGCTGGGTCCAAATTCGTCCCCCAGAATAGTTCCATAATGCAATTCGACACGACACCGATCCAGTGTTGGCTTTTTTTGGAGTCGGCGATTAACGGACACGTGCACATTTTGAAGGGACTAAATTACCCTAGTTTACTGGCCTTAGCTCCCACGAGACTCCTGTAGCTTGGTGTTAGAGCATCTGGACTAGAAGGTCATAGGTTCGACTCCTATTGCCAGATTGTTTCTTTCACTAAAATTTCATGAAGAACAACTTAATTGTTATATAAAATAAGATAGGTAAACAGAACTGGGATGCTTGAAACCCTGGTCATTTGCTTCATAACCTACATCCATATCCATTACGCCATCGAGGACTAGGTGCCAAATCCCGGATTTTTTAAAACATACATGTACGTATGCTGTATCCCATAACAATGTTTGAAAGCTAACAGTCGTAGTTCAGTGCTTAACCCAAATCACTGCAAATCATACGCTCTCTCCATAATTGGCGCTGTGCAGTTTGTTTGTTTGTTTGTTTGTTTGTTGTTGTTGTTGTTGTCTTTTCAGCAATTCTGCAAGGTTCGTGGGCTTCTGTTCGAGTCTTGTTACGTTAAGAGAATAATGCGTTGTGTGAGCCTCATAAAGTGTTCATTTTGGCTTCACCCGATGTTATCTAATATAAAACCCTACTTGTGGTATACTCGGATTTTTTCTTCCGATCCGCCTGTATCTCTCACTGAATAAACGTCTATCTCATAAGTCTGGCCTCGACTAGAGGAAATAAGGTGAAAAACGAGAGTTTATTTGATTTTGATAAAAACTTAATTTAACTTCAGGCAACCCAAGGAGAATACAACAACCCAGAACAAGAAGAATTGGTAAGTTAAAGAGAGAAATTTTTTTTTGGCTTTCACTCAGTGTTAATGACCTATGGTATAAATGATCTTGTTCACTTTTACCTTTTAGATTGAGTGGATCAATTCGAAGACGCCCAAAAGTGAGTTGTAATCTTAGATAGTGCAACAAGTTTAAATCCATGACAACGCTATATCGCTGGCTCTTCGCATCGAGTGCAGACAATGTGATAAACTTTGACATTTTAAAGAAAGCAGCAAAGCTTGTTATCGCGGACATAGAAGCTCAATAAAACAATAGGATCCAATTATAGTTCCGCTTTTTTTTTTTTTTTTACAGCCGAAGGTGGGTGAAATACTGCTTGCAATACCCACGCTCTACAGTCAACTCTCTATAAGACGGACACCTTTGGGACCGGCACTGAGTGTCCGTCTTTGAGAGGTGTCCGTCTTATAGAGAGTCAAATAAAGGGAGTAAAGAAAGGCAGGGACCAACTCAAGGTGTCCGTTTTACAGCGGTGTCCGTCCTATAGAGATGTCCGTTAAGAGAGAGTCGACTGTACCTCTTATATTGCTTCACACGTAGCATTTCATGGGTTCGTTGAGTTACAGTCAAGTCATAAATACACCGATAGCAGCAGCCAGTGGCGCCTTGTATGTTGACATTGGAACTTACAGGGACTGTGTCACGAGGAAATTGCTGTTTTAGGTCATTTCTGTGCCGAAGTCATTACTATGTCTGAAGATATCGAACAAATTTCATCAGAGAGCACTAAACAATAATTCTTTTGGTGATTTTTGAAGACATAGTATTTCACTTGAAAACGTTTGCCCAACTTTTCCAAGTTTCAGTCCATGTCCATCCCTTGCAACAGAGGACAGGAAACAGTTTCAATGTCTAAAATATAACCTGAAATAACAAAACAGAAACATTTTTTCGGGAATTCAGTGGGCCCTTTGCAGAATATGGCCACATGGTACAAAAAACACCTTTTTGGATGGCAAAGAAACGATGCAGTGGGAACTTGAAAAGAAATTATTTTAGCTTTTTGAATGATGTAATCTCTTTGTATTTCTTGACCCTCAGCGTCGTTTGCCATCCAGCAAGGTGTTTCTTGTACCATGTGACCGTATTCTACAAAGGGCCAATCGATGCGAAGACGCGTATTAACTTTGTAAAAAGATAGTAAATAGCTTGGCATATCCCCTTTTTATGAATAAACAACGTAAAGAGGACTCGTGCTGTTGTACTCTCATCAACGACATTACATTACATTAGATCGAAATGAATTGCAATACATTGCATTACGTAACATTACGTTTCATTGAAAATCTAGTGACAAATGACTTCGCTTGCAAGGACTAGAAAATCCCTAAAATGAACACATTTACGAGCACGTTGTCAATCGCTGTCGTTTTTGTTTTCTTCTTCCATTAGACTCTGTGTTTGCTGGGGCCATGCCCACAATGGCCACCGTAAAACTCTGTACAGGAAGAGCTGTAGTGAACCATCCCCATTATGAAGATGTTGGTATAAGGTACAGTCTCAACATATATTACTTTGTACGATTCAGATTTAGATTTATAGCACTTTACCCACACTTACGTCCAGGATTGAACGCAGTCGCAAAAATTTGCTAGCAAATTGTTTTCGCAATGTTGGCAAAAAAGATTTATAGGAAACTGCTGTCCGAAATGCATGGAAGAAATAGCAAATATATCAAGAATAACAAATTCAACAAGGATTGCACGCTTGCGATATTTGCAAGTAAGTGTCTCAGAAAATTTTCTTGTGAATCATTTTTTTGCTAAAATTGCGAAAAAAAATTGGCTAGCAAATTTGTGCGATTGCGTTAAATCCTGGACATATCTCTTAGGTTGGTGAGGTCAAAGCAAGAGAGCTCGCCCCAGTTGTTCAAAGGGTGATTAACGCTACCCAATGGATAGCGCAGTTGGTTTCCCTAACACTTGTCCGCTGGATAGTGCTATTCAACGTTTGATCAACTATGGCCTGGGTTTTGGGAGTAGACAATGCCAGAAGTTGTAACATTCCTCATGGTTCTTCTAGCTTAACCAGTTGCAAAAATACTTGAGACACTGTGACTTCAGTTGTTTGCGCTTAACTGGCCATACCATGATCTTGTGCTTGAAACTTCACGAAGTTGCGCGCGTCTGTTCTCGAGACGCCATGATGGCCAAGCTCACTCGGACAGAAGAACTACCAATTTCACCACCCCTTCCCCCTCTCTGGTTAAGATCTAAGCATGGTGAATTTTTTTTTCGTATCGCAGGGAAAGAACTCACAAAGTCTACCAAATCTTTAGTCGCAAACCGCCCTCTGTTGTCTGGAAAACCTTGAATTCAATGCAAGTAACTCATGTGGTTATTGACACGCAGTGGTGCCGGGGGAGACCAAAGTAAGTAGTTCTTCTTCAACAGTTGTAGGTATGATTTGCCCATTTTCCGATGCGACTGTAGGTATTTTAATACCTACAGTCCTTAAAAGTGAACTCACGTGATTTCAGGTGCGTAGCCAGCTTTTCGTCTAATTGTAGACCCGGCTGACTTTTATTTCCACACATCCTGAAAATTGCACCCATGACTAGCTCACCCCAACAACGCATAATTTATTACAAGCGGTAGTGTGATCAAACGAAAAATTTGTAGGCCTGGATGTACAGGTCTATGGACTGGCTATGCCCTTGGATTTGGAGTACAGTTTGGAATTAAACCGCAAAAAGCATGATTAAATTTTTTCCAATACCAAAGTGCGAGGTCTTAACAAGTGCTGATATATTCAAAATTACCAAAGGAAAATCGTGCGAGCGTCTTTTAGCATTATAAAAACATATTCTGCCTTGGAAATGCAATTTTCGGGAAATCACTACTAAGGAAGCCAAATGAAAAGAAAATTTGTAGCAACACCAGGTCCCTTTTCCGCACTTTTTCCTTAAAATGCATTTCTCTTAGCTCATCAAAGTCGAGAAATTTTTTCATAAATATCATAAGCTTACCATTTATCCACCCAAAGACCTCTCCGGCATTTCGCTCCAGTTTTCACAAGCAAGGTGTGAGGCTTAAATGGGCAGAAGTTTGATACAAATCAATGTGTTTTGTCGTCTGAAGTCTCGAGTAGCTGCCTTTGTTCACAGTCAACCTCGTATCCCGGGTTCTCTAGACAGAACCTGGGAAGGAGGTTGGTTCACGGTCTGTTCGCCGCTTTAGAAACTAGAAGGAAACTGGGCCGAGTTAACTTTCGCAAAGACTTCTGGGATTGCTGCTAGAGACGGGGAAAACAATTGGCCAATAGCTGACTGGCGCGTCCCCAGTAACCATCCCAGAAACAGTTGCGGGACGCCTTTCGGTTCCAGTTCACTTCTCCTTACTTAAGTGGCGAATAGGCCATTTCCGAGTTCCGCCGGGACTCTTTATCAAAACGAGGTTAAGTGCTCGACCTTTGATATAGAATTGATTTTTTATTTTCATGCAAATAAAACACATTTTCACAAGAAAGGTTTTCGCACCCGGCGTCATTTTGAAAGTGAGGGTTTTTGGAACTCGGAAGTGGCCTGTTTTTCTCCCCGTATAATTCTGTGTTTGCGACTCTCTGCAGGCCTGGTTGTGGCATGGTTGACATCTGGGACTTAGAAGATGTAGAAAACAGAAACCGACCGAGCTGTTGCAATGCCCTGGAACAGAATCCAACCCCTTTTAAAATGGTGTTCAGCAATGCGAAATACTACGTTTTCCAACTCCATAACAGCTGACAGACTTGTAAAACTTTCAGAGTTGTTCACGTAAATGAATTGTATCTATAAAACGTTATTTAAACAATGACTAGACGCTCCGCATGTTATTGTTATGGTTTTTGTAATTCACAGACAGAAGATCCGACGCCTTTTAAAACAGTGCTCAACAAGGATATACGTATTGCGTTTTTAGACCCCTTAAAGGTTTCCTTAAAATGCCTATATTGTATCTCGAGGAAATGGCGCCACCAAAGTTAGGCACTGTTGGGTTATCGACCTCAGCGTTTAGCCTCGGTGGATAACATCCTCCTCGATCTGCATACCTTAATTATTCACATCCTACTCAACCGCATTCCATAATTGCAACAAGTATCGGCACGTCGCACTAACTTAAACGACGCACTAAAATAGTTACGGCATAAAATATATAAAAAGTCATTTCTGCCACAAATAATGTTAATAGGCCTAGTTCAAGGCCAATTCTGTTAGTAATAACACGAATGATTGAACAAAATGTTATTGTTTTATCATGATTACGACAGCAAACAGAATAATAGGTGGTTTTCACGTTACGTCATCGCCGCCATGCTGGTGGACGGTAAACAAAAGATCGCTCATTAGCTCGCTTTGTTTGTCCACCAGCATTTGTTCATTTCACCATTGTTATTTGTGTCTCCCGAGATTGCGTGAAAACCACCTATATGTAGTTTAATTCCGTATAACTCAAACAAAAATTGAAAAAGCAATTTGAGCCGCTAGTTTCAACATTTCAGTTGTAATAAAATACAAGATTTCCGAAAACTTTTGACGTGAAAACGAGAGAAAAGAAATAATTCAAAAGCAACTGTTCTGTTACAGCGCGCGACTAGTGACAAATATTGTTCAATTACTTTAGCACCTTCATTATACGGAAGCCTCCCTCGTTCAAGCAGTTCACTTGGTTTCAACACTTACAGTGGAACCTCGATATAACGAGCCTCTAGATAACGAAGTCCTCGTTATAACGCACGATATTCTTCGCCCCAGTACAGTAGAACCTCGATATAACGAACCTCTGTTTGACGAAGCCCTTGTTATAACGAACGATATTCTTCGCCCCAGTACCGTGGAACCTCGATATAACGAAACCTCATTATAAAGAACGCTATTCTTCGCCTCAGTACAGTGAAACCTCGATATAACGAAACTCTATATAACGAAAACCTCGTTATAACGAACGATATTCTTCGCCCAGTATTGTCATAGTAAAATACCGTATATGAAAAAGAACCTCGATGAAACGAAACCTCGAAATAGCGAACATATTTTCACAGTCCCTTGACCCTTCGTTAAATCGAGGTTCCACTGAACTATGTTGAGGTCTATAATACATTTAATTAGCGCAAAGCTCAAGAGCTTCCTTTCCCGCCTTATTAATAACGATATATCTGTATCAGCCTTTAACTCTTTACAGAGAAACTACACTAGATGTCACTATCGCGTATTTATGACATGAATTCGTTAGCCTCACGCATCACACGGTGAAGAAAAAACCATGAAACGAAGAAAAAGACAAGAAATATATGTCCTCCAGTGCAATTTAGGTAGTTTAACCCTTTAAACCCTAAGATCAACATTAAAATTCTCATTTCTCGCCCCTACTCATTTCCTACAGAAATAGAGGAGGGAAGTTGATGAGATATCAACCAAATTCATCTTGTGTGATCATGTTCGTAAATCTCATAACCACTCTGTTTTACGAAGCATTGATATTACAAGGAGAAATTTGATGCTGATCACTCTTAGGGCTGTGCAAAATTTTACAAAATGGCTAGTTGTGTTTCATTACTTCAAGCAGTGTTAAATATCACGTCATTGGCGAACATTGAATGTTAAACTCACTAGCAAGCTTTTCAACAGTTTTTACATTGCTCCATTCCACCTTACGCCCTTGTTTAATCTCAAGACCAACTTGGTCATAATGACGTTTGAGTAACTCCAAACATGTATTGGCATAGTTACCTGTACACGGTGTTTCGTCCACAGATTTAATGAACTGAAGATCGTGGTTGAAAAGAACAAAATTATCGCTCAGTGAAACTGCACGATTAGAGCATATATCCAAATTATTTCCTGCCGCTTTGTGTGACAAGCAGTAGCTTACAATAACGTTTGAAGAAAGAAATGGGGCGTATGGTACGTGAAAAGTTGTTTGAGGCTCCGACAGAATAGTTTCTACATGTTCTGGTCTAACAGTATGATTGGTTGGAAACTTCTTATTATATTCCGCCAGGTCATCACACATCTCGAAATTCCAGTCGTAGCGGTCTCTCTCAAAGTACCACGCATAACTCAGCACAACGCAGACTGGAGAGTGCGGGACGTGGATTAACTTCTTGAAGACCTCATCAAAGTTACGCGTCTTAAATTTTCTCAGTATATACTCTCTGCAGTGAGTGAAGGTGTCCCGATATATGTATACAGGAAAGAAGGACATAAAATTAGCAACCATTGGAAACCCAAGGGCCAGTTCCAACGTGTGTGCCCAAGACTTTATCCAATCCCTACCCAATTTACAACCTGTTCCTAAAGTTCTTAACTTTGTGCCATTAAAAATGGAAGATTTCGTTACTGGAGTTATGAAAGCAGCGTCATTATCCATCCAGGCAATAATGCTGTCATTTGAATACAAGTCGATAAAATAACTGCTCCAGAGCTGCCTGTTGTAACCGGGTTTTCTGTGTATCCCTGGAAAATCCAACGTGCTTTTGTCTTTTGGAAGAGCCTCATATAAGACTTCAAGCTTGCGATCAGGAAAGTATGTTTTGGTCTGATCCATTATTTTATCGCCAAATTTATGATCCTCTTCGGTTTCTTCGTCAAGTACCAAGACTATTTTTCCGTACGAAGAAGGCCAGTAAAGAACAGTAGTCCTGAACAGATCACAGTAATATCGTTGCCTGTGATCTGGCAATTTACCAGACATCCTGACAAATAGACTTAATGAGGTATCTACGGCTTCTTCGGCGGCCGCTTTGGTTGTTCCGATTCCTGCGCTGGATGGGCTGCTGTCCATCTGTGAGATCTGTGGTCGCAGTGATCTTAAAGTTCTCTCTTTTGGAACAACATGAATTACGAACATTCCTATGGCTAGGAGCGTTAAAACGCAACAGGTGATAAGAACGTCTCTAAGTTTAAATTTCCTTCTCAAAATCATCGTTTGTTCGCACAGAAGTCTTCTTCTGGACACCTGTTTAAGAGAAAAGATCGACAAACTGTAATTAAAACAAAAAAGTCTACTCTAGCCACAGGGTCCAGAGGAGATGTGTTTGTCGTTAGAACATCAAAACCAGTCGAAAACCTCTTTAAAAAATTGGTTATTTTGATCGCGTTACAGGTTCGTTACACATTCTATAGACCGCAAACCAAGAGACTGAGGGCTCGCAAACTCGGCTTACAGTATTCGTGCCTCGGTCGCCCTTTGGGCGACGGCCTTCGGTCACCCTTCGGGCGACGTGCCGTGCGCCAGCGAGGATATGGCTTGCGGTTATTGATTTCTAAAAGTCGATCTGGGTGATCTGGGTCAGATAAGAAGCGAAGAAATAGTTTACAGTGGATTTATAAAGATTCCATTGGGCTAATTAATCGTGCTAAGCGATAGGTATAGACATTTTTCAAGGTGGGACGTTAAATAAGTAATTAATTTATTCACACCGAACTCCTCTGGACCCTGTGCTCTAGCTTTAGACCACGTAGCCTGCGAACAACAGACGCATTTCCGGTCGTTGCTTCCTTGCCTCCGAAAAATAGCTATTTTTCGGAGGGAGAGGACCGACGACCGGAAATGCGTCTGCTGTTCGCAGGCTATAGACCACGCGGACTCGCAACATTGTGGCCAACAGTGATGGGAGTTGTTGCGTCCGTTCGCTTTTTGTTCGTCCGCCTCTTGGGAATTTTCAGTAATCTTACGCACAATAAAGTTTACAAATCAGCATCACAAAGACCGTTAGTCGAGGCGGAATATTACACTTGCAATGATTCACTCAAGTGGGACGATGGCATTCACTCAAATACTCACGCAGCATATCATTGGGCACCAATGTTTGAGACAACATTCAAATCAGCGAGTTAAATTTGCATTTTTTACCTTCACATGCGCATTGCCTTTTGTAAGAATGTTTTCATCACATCTGGCCTGTGTAGCAGGCGTCGAAAGGGGTAGGGGATAGGGAGGAAGGGAAAAAGGGAAGTTTCAGGGAAAACGTCGAGTCATTTTTGGAACATGCAATTAAGTGAGCTAATTTTCTATCCATTGAAGGGAATCCAAGACATGCTTGGATGCCTAGATTATTTGTAATTTGCAAATGGAAATTAAATGATTTCCTTTGTTTCCTTTCCGGTTATAGACAATTTGAAAAGATTTCAAAAACAGAAATTTCTCGTCATTTTTCGCCCCGCTCTTTTATCTGAACGCCTGGCACAGGCTATGGCCGGAATCTCTATTACCACACAGGAAAAAACCGCCAAGTCAATGGGTCGGTCTAGCAGGGGATCCGCTTAAAAAACACCACACAAATACCCTGTTCAAGACGATTTTAAGAAAGAATATGTATATCCCGTTGAGTGCGAAAACTTTGAAAACCATACCTGGTTGAAGGGCACGGGAAGACAACGTATTTAAGTCACAACGAATGTCGGTCTTCCCTCGTGATGCCTGTCTGGCATCGCCGGTGTTGCCACCTGTCGCAGCCATCACATAACAGAGCTTCCTGACGAGAAGTGACTTCTTTAGCGCAGAAGATACAATAAAAACTTTCCATGACTAGTTGTCGACTGACCGTGAAGGTAAGTTGAATGAAATGAACAGAACTCGCAGCCCTTTATATACTGTAGTGACCAGTAGCAGCGGATCAAAATCACAGCAATGTGATTGGTAGTCGATTACATACTGCACCACTGATTTGTCGTTTTCCACTAAATAGGTGACAACTAACTCTAATTAAGATAACAATAGCGCGCGCGTGTTTCCTACGAGGTAAGCTGTATGAAACAAAACGCGAACCGAACCACACGCGTGTAAGCGAAGAGGACGAACAATTATCCTAAAGGACTGGGTTTAAATAAAGCAACTTCAAAATGGCGGTCTGTCTTGTCTGTCCATTTGATTGAGGAATATACTTTAGCGGGAAATAAGCGGTGAGAGTTCACATCCAATAATTTACGCATACAACGAGTAAGTAATGTAGTATTCTGAATCGTACAGTTAAAGCCAGGTTGACATGTAAATGTTTGTTACATTAAATTTCAGACCCAATAATTTAGGCATAACGTTAGTATTCTGAACTGTACAGTTAAAACGTAGGTTGACATGTCAATGTTTATAACGTTTGCGAATTGACTTCGAAACGTTTGCGAACTGACTTCTACACGTTTGCGAACTGACCGGAGACGTTTGCGAAACGACCGTTGGCGAAACGACTCGTTGGCGAAACGACCGGTTTCCGTCACAACGGCTATATATATTATACTACTCGAATTGCGGGCGTTTAGCTCGAAAGTCGATTCGGCCGAAGGCGTTCGCTAGAGCTTAAGTCGATTTGCCCGATGACTGAAAACACTCTACAACATTCTGAACCTATAGCTACTTCTACGAGATGTTATTTTAGTTAACCTTGGATGCCACTTGTCTGGGAGACTGAACTGCCATCGGCTGAGACGACCCAATGCCATTCCACTCATTTCCTTCCCGGTAAAAGTCACTTTGAAACGATTTCAAAAACAAAGAATGCAGTAAAACGTCATTTTTAAGAGCAAATGTCTGTACAAATCGAGCAACATCGAAATTTAGCGGCCACAGTCAAAAAATCATTTTCGCTCATATCTTGTCCATAGATAGGCATAAGTAATTAACTAAACGTGGTGTAGTTTGTTTTTCAAAAGGCCGCTTGGATTTGAAGAGGGGCCATGAACGGCAAAGCATATTGGGGTTTGTTGACTTTTAAGGTGATTGTTGAATGTGATCGATATCCATGAATGTGATCAAATTTGAATTCTTAAATTATGCAGCATTTGGAGCAGTTAACGGACCGTACGTTCTGCACACACCGGCACTATTACTCACGGTCCGTATGCTGAGCACATACCGAGCGTGCAACTCATTATTACATGAGGGCACAATGCGCTCAGGGGGGGTACTCGGGATTTCAAGTGACGGGGATGATCGAATGGAGCCAAAAGTCAAGACCCAAAAAAATCCCTAGGGATTTCAGAAAAACCCAACAAAATCCCTGGACCAAAATTTAACCCCCAAAAAATCCCATGCCGATTTTGTGGCCCTTAAAAGTTCCAGAAAGGGGTAAAACACATATAAATATGTTCGGGCCACGTTAACGGGCTCTTTAAAAAGCTCTCAAATGCATAACACAAAGAAAAACATTGGAAATTTAAACAACAGCAAAACACGTTTGTTTGTACTTTATTCGCAGAACTACGCAGCCAGGGCACAACCGATTCTTTTTAATACCCCCAAAAAATCTCTACTCAAATCAAGCTACCCAAAAAAATACTTGCCAAATTTTCGTACCCAAAAAAATCCCGGAATCGAAAATTTCAAACCCAAAAAAATCCTTCGATCATCCCCGTCACTTGAAATCCCGAGTACCCCCCCTGGGACGATGCTTTACGGTTCGTTCGATCCGTACGGTCCGTGAGGACCGTGAGGGACAGTGCTTTACTGTCTGTACTTGGTCACACTTGTAAATCATAGATAATTTTAAAATAGGTAGCCAACCAGAATAGCCTCCCCGCAGACGTCCGTTGGGGTTCGGTTGTCACGCATTCATTTCTCCCCCACGGGGGAGAAATGAATGCGTGACAACCGAACCCCAACGGACGTCTGCGGGGAGGCTACAACCACAAGTAATGTTAATATTAAAAAAAATAGCTGCACATAATTAATTATGTATTCAGTTCGTTTCATGTTAAGTTGGAGTTATATACGACAAAAGTCGCCGCATGTTTAATTCAAATCTGTCAAATTTAGCTGAGAAAAACGTCGAACTTCATATGCATTCAATTCCCGACTTTATTGAGTCTGCACATATGAAAATCCACGTTTTAACCGGGCCTCAGTCGAAGATGCTGCATTATCAATTATATTAGAGTCGCATTTAATGCAAATATGTCGAATTTAACTGAGTGAAACGTCGAGCCTCATATCCATTTGATTTAATTCCTAAAGTTCTTCACAGATGAAATTCGATTTGTTTCCTGCAGAAACAACTTAAGCCGATAAACTAGTTCTGTTTCTTTCAGATCGTTTAACTTAATTCCAAAATCATTGTGATATTAGGGCCATTTATACGAGGAAAAATAAGACGCGTCTCAAATAAGACGCGAACTGTCCGTATAAACGGCACATTTCGTCTCGCGGCTTAGCTAAGACGCGTCTTACATGTATTAGATAAGACATGCTCGTATAAATGGTACAGTTCGCGTCTTATTTAAGACGCGTCTTTTGTAAGACGCGTCTTATTTTTCTTCGTATAAATGGCCCTAATATACAAATCAAGCGTAACACTGGCCTCGAAGCGATTTGTTCGGATGAACCTCGCTGTTTCATTGCAGTTTTTCTTGTACTAGTCATCGTAAGTTAAGTCTTTGGAAGGATCCTTACCTTTGACTTGATCACGACGAATGAAGAGTCAATGCAAGACGCAGAAGATTCCCAGAACGCTTTACAATTTTTGGCATGAACTAAGTCTACGGTTGTGAACGGGTGACTCGATTAACTAGTCAGCGGTGTCCTTTAACGCTGTGGTAGGTCCTTGATGTATGGGAATATGTATTGTATTGATTCCAAGTGACGGGGATGATTGAATGGGGCCGGAATTCAAAACCAAAAAAAAAATGCTTATGGGGAATGTTTTGCCTCCCAATAACAGTGTTGTCCACAAGTCACAAGTACAGTAGTTGGATGTAACTGATTTCATTCACGATTCACTCTCACTTAGTTTCACCGCAATCACGATGTCTCTAAAAGCTAAAAAGCATTTTTTCTTTGTTTTATTTTAACGCAACCGCGAATTCCGAATCGCGAATCTATGCTATAACCCTGTATTTGCCGAAAAGAAATAACAGTAATAACAGTGGTTTGTTGATTCTATTTTGAAATTGAAGTTATTAGGATCATTGTATTTGTCACGCATTCTCTTGTAATAAAGAATATCCGATACGACAGAGCATCATTTTTTTTAGACCCACCCTCGAGTCCTGCAATTGAAGCATAGTACAAACCAGGTCAACCAATCGGCGCTTTAGTTTCGACATTGTCGAATCAGTGGGAAGGGAGGCGGGGCTAATTCGAAATTAGAAGCACTTTTAAATGTTTTAGTTCTTGGAAGGGCTTGCTTCTGCTAGAGAGTGCTTGCAATAAGAAATCGTATCAAAGAACATCAAAGACGAAATCCTATCAGTGTTTTAGTCTTGGCTGATGTCGAAATGCCGTTGTTAGTTTTGTTGTTGTGCTTTGATAAGACTGGGAAATAAGGCAAATTTTGGAGCACCACATATTGGTTGGTGTGATGTCTTAGCGATTTTTACGGACTTAATATAGGTAGAAGTAAATGTAGATGATGTAGATAATAGTTTGAATCGATGGAAAATCATGTCTGTTTTACCTTAGGTTTCTACTTTAAAATCAGTAACAATCAATTCAACAAATTGCTAAACAAAACACCACAAACTTTGTTTTTCCAACACCCCCGGCCACTCTAAAGATCCGAAGACTTTCATGTTTAACTGTCAATCCTGAGCAATACGAGCGAACTTAACTTTCTGTGCTCTTCACTTAGGGGCCGACCATTTAAATCTTGAGGGGGAGGGGGCCAAGGAGCCACTTCAAGCAAATAACCACAATAATTTGGTATGGAGACAGTTTACGAAGGATATGAAAACATGAAGACAATTATCTTTACGTCGAATTCAAAGAAAGATATCTGTCGATCAAATCAGTTAGACTTTCTGCGTCTCCTTTATGGACTGTAAAACAGTAATTCTCCGAAAAGCGAACATTGTCAAAATTTCCTTGAAGAAATGCATTCCCTTTTTTCCCTACTCGCCCGTCTAGTTTTCCGCCAGATTGCGAAAAAGGGCCATAAATAAGGTAAAAAAGTCGACCGGAAGAGTCCCGAGAGGAAGCTCGATCATTTAACCGGAAGTCCCTCTTCATTTTACCAAACTACCGCTGACTAATTAATTGAGTAACAAAAACTCACCCTCCCTCAACGCCCGTGGAAAATTGTCACCCGTTGTGAACGATGGAGAGGCAAACTCGTTCCCAGGGTTCTCTCTCTTGCTTCGAGAAACCTTAGTTGAGGCTGGTCACGTGGCTCAGAAAATACATTGAGGGAAAGAAGGGGAAATAATTGTTGCTTTGTCAAAAGTTACTCTGTCGGTAGCCTGAATTTCATCCGATTACTTCGAGTCGTTATTGCTCCCTCAGTAACTACTGAGAAGAGAAAACGACTCGAAGTAATCGGATGAAATTCAGGCTACTCTGTCGGGGCCTGAGAGGAGTTTTCCGCCTCGTTACTCACCGTCCCGTAGTCATCAAACAAATGCAGTCGGATTAGAAGATCTAACGTTTTCTATATCAAAATGCCTACCAGACTGCCGATGAATAGTACGACTTGCACCTTTTTGTTCGTAATGTCGTTAGGCTCAGAAACATTTTCAAGGTATAGGAAGACCGTCTTCCTCTCCTAATGTCATCTAAACCTACCCAGACGCACACACCGTCCTTCACGATCATCTCAAGAATGCAATGCTGGCTTTGATTTGATCAGAGTTCAAATCATAATGTTACACTTCTTTCATATAAAGAAAATGTCAATTATTATTTCCATTGTTTTGGTTAAATTTTTAACTATAGTGAGTTGAATGTACAGGATTGCATCATAGAGAGGCCATAAAAGTACGAGCACAACGCACCAGCGAGTGCGTGACACGCGATTCACTGCGGAAACTGCTGTTTAGCAAGCTCAGGCCAAAAAATTGGTTGAATCTGCAAGCACAAAGCCTTCGAGATCAATGATTACAATTTTTTTTGGCATCTATCTTTCATTTATGATAAGTAGTATGCTGTGTGTTCACGGACCGGGGGTGATACATAATAAACATTTTGAACCAACGCTTTTATCTAGCAACATTCGTCTGATTCTATTTGAGTTCCGCGACCTTCAATACAATCAATACAATATGGAACTACGCTACATTTTAATACTGGCAAAGACAAGAAACAGGGGCACCCAACGTCAATTTTTAGAAAATATCTGTTCGGAAGACGATTTGAGATCTAGAATATTCGGAACATTTGTTGTAAAATTTCTTGTTTGTCTGCCTCTTCTAGGATTTTCGAACATCTAAAAAATGGTATAGTGGCCCATTTTTAACGGATTTTTAGCCTAAAAAGGTAACCTAGAAGTATTCGGGAGCCTTTTTTCTGGCCGAAAATTTCGAAAAGGTAATTTTTGATCCCTAAAATTTTCGGATCACCAGACTTTCAGCTACGAAATCCGAACAGATGAAAAATTTTTAGGGGATACCGTTTAAATACTACAATACGTTCAACTATGCTATGTTTAAGTGGTTTTGAACTATATTCTCGTTGGGTGCCCCTGCAGATAGACAACGCTTGAGTCGTAACCCATGCCATCTTTAATAACAAGGGTAATAATAGCTCTGATCGATCCGATTTTGTCCATGTTGTTGACACTCTTAGGCACGTCTGGGCTGCCTGTGTTGGTACTAGCTCACCAGCAAATGCTGCAGGGATGGGAGAGGTGTGTTTGTGCATCGGGGCATTTGACCGACGGTCTGGACGCTTGGTTACACTAATCAGATAGGTAAATATGTGGCGCTATATTGCTTTGTTTTTCAGGGGTTTTTTTCCATTGTTAATGCGACTGAGTTCTACAATATTACCCGTGTTTCTGGTCTCAACAACCCAATGACTGGCAATGATTTATAACAAGAAACGAGTCATAATTGTTGCCCTTATCTTCGCTTCTGCTCCGGCATGGATGGTTTTTGTCTACTTCACTACCACTTTCCATAATCAGGAACGCCCATCAGAGCTACAAAATGCGCCTACCTTGGCAAATACTACCCCTATAGTCCTTATGGCCCCAGTAAAAAATCAAACAGAAATCAACGACACAGATGACTTAGATATAGACGAAACTCTCCATCAACTGATTGATTTTAAAGACTTGGGGAAGAATAAGAGAGTAGTATTGCTATTGATCATCGTTTCCACTGCACCAGCAAGATTTGAAAGAAGACAGGCAATAAGAGAAACCTGGTGGAAACATTGTTCTGGCAATCAGACTCAGTTAGGCAGGCAAGATAGGTTCTTTGTCGCCAGTTATCTCACGATCTCACGATGACGTTTCTTTCAGTAATATCATTGATGAAGAATTACTCCTTAACTTGTATAGTTAACAGCATGATTTGTAGTGATATTTGGCATAAATACCACGAGTGATATTTTAAAATTGTTATACGAAATTTGAGACAATTTTGAAATATCCTAAGTGGTATTTATGCTACATATCACGTACAAATCATGCTATTATTTGTTTATACTACTACCCACAAAAGCCTAAAGGCTCGGGAAATTATTAGGATTTGGACAAAACGCAAGTCAAATTATTCCCTAATTTCACGAGTATACCACTTGATTACCAGTTAATATCATGGGTGACGAATTACGTTAGCAATCTTGGATTTTTGACATGTTTATCCTGGATCGTATCGATCGAGGACTCCACTCTCTCAAATGTTTAGACCTTAAATTTGGCTTATATAGTTCAGAATTTTTCAGTCTTTTTCGACAAAATACCTGTTAGAATCCTTCTTGAGTTCTCTTGTGTGTTCAGGTTTTCTAAAGCGTCTTTAATTTTTGTGCCCTGACATCTTCATTCACCGCATTTTAAAACTTCGTCGCCATCTTGACACTGAGACGTACGGAAGGGCTGCCATGGCAATTTCCGGACGCTTGGTTACACTAATCGGATAGGTAAATATGTGGCGCGATGTTGCTTTGTTTTTCAGGGTTTTTTTGTTTTATTCAAACAAAGCGCTTTAGACATGCAATTTTACCTTATGGTAGTTTCAACCTTTTTAAAAACGTTTGTGAAAGATCATGGAGATAACTCCAGCCGATTGCTAGAAAGAAGGATTTGATTACTATGTATGAAACGCTCTTGTTAGCGGTTTTGTAAACATTTAGGTCTTCTTTAACAAATTAGCGAATAATTTTTAAACCGCTCGATAGATTTTTTTTAAAAAATTGAAGATTCTTGAGATTAATGTTCCTTTAATATCAATGTAATATGACCTTTTACCCTCAAGATTATTGATATATTGTAAGGCAGTAAAATAAGGGCTACAATTCGTTTTTTTTTTGTTCCGGAAAAGCTCGATGTGGGATTTCTATTCTATGGACATGAAGTGCTGCAAGTAGAGTGCGTGATAGTCAAGTACAAAGCTACCCGTCTAAACAAATACGTAACGCAGACGGGTAGTTACAGTTGCTTATAGCAGTAGTCCAAGGTTAAATCATTGATATCTCAAGTATTTACAAAGTGCAACGCGACTTCACATCTTAACAACTGCGAAAATCTATCAATTAAATACATACAACAAAGTGAATCTATTTAACCGTGGAGTCCCAGTAAGTGCGACAATATTCCGAGAAACGTAACGGCATGACGAGCTTTGAAGCGCGAAAAAATGTTATGCAAATTAGCTGGCTGCACATTCAATGTGCAGCCAGCTAATTTGCATAAGTAATTCAAAACCAAGGTCTGACAGCTCTAGGCTCTTGAGGTGTTAGCTGAATACCCTAGGACTTCCGTAAATTGCCCACAAAAGAGTAACTCAAGCTACCATAAACTGAAATGAAAGTAACCGCAATATCCGATTAAAGCAAGGTTTAAATCTTTTTCTGCTCGGCTAACCCTCTTCCGAGGCACTTACTATTTTGGTAATAATAAAACGCCATAATCATTTTACATTGCGCCTTTTTCAGTCTCGGGCAGTAAGTTATAGTATGAAATGGAGGTAAACTCAAAAATTCAGTTTTGTGACTGCCCTGCAACTTTGAAACTACTTAAGCCGCTTCCTAAAAGGCTGGGAAAATGTTTTTCGTAAAATTCGTAAAAGTAGCTCCTTATACTCTAATTTAACATTACCAAATTTAACAAACGCGGTAACTACTTTATGGTCCTGTATCAGTATGTAAAGGCATCAAATCGTTATAAAGCCGACAGAAACAACAATTAACAGACAAGTACTAAATATGATTTAAGATTTTTTTGTTCTGCTTTTATATCAAGCAAATGAAATAGTCCTGGCGATATGTCATTATCGCAAAATCGCCAAATTCAGAGGTTCCTAGATCACTAACACAAAATACTGTAATACATGTTCTTATACTGCTCTTTTACTCCGCTTTGTTAAGACAACACTCATGCCAAAATCAAGTTCGAGCGCGTGCTAAAAAAATAAGATGGATTGAGAGAAAGCTGTCAATTGACCATGAATATTCAAAAAGAGTAAGAGTTGAATAAGATTGTCACCTCCATAAGTCAAATAAGTCAATGTTATGCATTTTTTAGGTATACATTAGCCGGGATACTACAGCATTGATTAGAGTGTTTTTGCAAGTTAACTGTCGATTTCAGGTATACTCTACCCAGGATACTACAGGAATGATTAGAGCATTTTTGCAAGTTAACTGTAGATTTCAGGTATACGCTACCCAGGATACTACAGGAATGATTAGAGCATTTTTACGAGTTAACTGTAGATTTCAGGTATACGCTACCCAGGATACTACAGGAATAATTAGAGCCTTTTGCGAGTTAACTGTAGATTTCAGGTATACGCTACCCAGGATACTACAGGAATGATTAGAGCATTTTTACAAGTTAACTGTAGATTTCAGGTATACGCTACCCAGGGTACTACAGGAATGATTAGAGCATTTTTACGAGTTAACTGTAGATTTCAGGTATACGCTACCCAGGATACTACAGGAATGATTAGAGCATTTTTACGAGTTAACTGTAGATTTCAGGTATACACTACCCAGGATACTACAGGAATGATTAGAGCATTTTTGCAAGTTAACTGTAGATTTCAGGTATACGCTACCCAGGATACTACAGCATTGATTAGAGCATTTTTACGAGTTAACTGTAGATTTCAGGTATACACTACCCAGGATACTACAGGAATGATTAGAGCATTTTTGCAAGTTAACTGTAGATTTCAGGTATACACTACCCAGGATACTACAGGTTAATACTATGCAACGCAGATAACAAAAGCTCAGGAAACAAGGGGACCCTGCATGACCCAGCGAGGCTGCTTGTCTGCGAAATTTTTTTGAGACAAGAGCTGACTCTCTCGAGTGTTGAACTAGAATAGAATAATCCAGAATTATAATTTTAAACATGAATTGCTACTGATATAATTATTAAGTTTTCTTACCTGTCTGGAGTCTCTTCCACTGATGTCAATGATCTGGGCGCCAAACAAACGCGCGCGGTACATATTTCCCGCCACAAATAATTAAAAGCACTTTCATGAGATGGTGATCAAAATGCAAAAGCAAAATAGGAAAGCCGGAGCCATATTGCTAGAGGCTAGCGATCGTTTGTTGGGCGGCGTGTGATAGAGTGAAACTGATAAAATATCGAGAAATCTGGACAGAATCTTTTTGTAATACATTATCAAAAATTATGTGAAATACATCATCAGAGAACACGTGCGAAAAAAATAATTTCGGCCCGATATTTTTTTCTCGGTATTTTTCATCGACAAAAAGCCGAAACATCACGACTTACCATCAATTAATTGGCTAAACAAAGCTAAACTTACCAAAGTCGATAACCAAGTAAGGATTTCCTACAGAAATAATTTGCCACTCTCGTTTAGCAGTGTAGTGGTCGAACTTGACGTAGGTTAAAACGGATTCGTTTTGCCGGCATCTTCCCGTTAAATTAAAGTAGATTTAACACTTGCCAGGGGTAATTAGAAATCTAGCCATTTTGCTCATAGCTTCGCAAATGCAACCAGCATTATGCAGTAAAGCGACAGAAACTTTAGCGAAATATTCACACGCGACAGTCGCGACGACCTCAGTAAATCTAACAAATGAAACAAGATGCTGAGAGAAAAAAAGGGCTTCATTGATTGTTTCCGGCAGGCGGTGACAAGTAATGTACGAGATTAGAAGACCTCCTGGTCAGAATTTTTTTTGTAGCCTAAGCCCGTCATGCAATACACCACAAACAGGATTTCCCGCTATAATATTTTCTCATCATACTCGGGGTATTTACTTTATCACGTATAATAACACGAAAATTAAGGGCCTCGATTCGGAGAAAATTACATCACTGCCAAACATAGCCTCCCACGCAGGCGTTTTTAGGGGAGCTCGTTTTTCATCCCTCCCCACAAACGCCTGCTCAGCCGGAAACAACATTCCTTTCCCGTTGTTTTATTTGCGTGGTAAGTGACCAATAAACGGTTGTGCAATAAAGTGTTGACAGGCTAAACGCGACTAAAACGTGACCCTACAGTTACCGATTTCCTTCTTTTCTTTCCTTCGTTAAGGTTATGAAGTGCATGGAGTATTCTAAAATTTGATTAAATCTTATTTTTGCCGCTCTGAATCTAACATTTATTGGAGGTTAGAAAATTTTTCCATTATTTCATGCAGATCGAGCAATTATCAGATTAGTAATAACACGAATGATTGAACAAAACGTTATTGTTTTATCATGATTACGACAGCAAACAGAATAATAGGTGGTTTTCACGTTACGTCATCGCCGCCATGCTGGTGGACGGTAAACAAAAGATCGCTCATTAGCTCGCTTTGTTTGTCCACCAGCATGTGTTCATTTCACCATTGTTATTTGTGTCTCCCGAGATTGCGTGAAAACCACCTATATGTAGTTTAATTCCGTATAACTCAAACAAAAATTATAACATAGCTAGAAAATTCGCCTAATCAAATTCAATAGCGCGAGCGTGCTTCATATTCCTATTGAGCACGCTGATGACGTCAATAAACTATTCGTAATTCCTCGAGTTGTTGTGAGCTTAGCAATCCTGAGTCTCCTGAGTGCATCCATAACTCAGCAATAGACAATGAAGCGTTTACCATGTGTTTTGTAAAGAAATTTAAGAGGAAACGTTTGAATTTGTTAACCGATAGTAAGGAAAAGAGGTGAGTGTTGTTGTTGTTGTTGTCATCTCCGCGAGCTGTGCGGGCTATGGCGTGAGCTCATTCTTTGCAAAGTTGTTTTCTCTCAATAACAATTTTTCGGTAAATTAATAGTTTTCCGGCACCTAAATATGGATTTTACAATCATTTTAGAGTACACTTTCTCTCAGTTTCAGGATAAAAACATAAGATTAACTGTGAGGAAAAAAGATATATTCACGTAAACATTGACGCGTACTGCTTTGAGCGCGCCCTTCAATAATAAAATTTTCAGTTAACTGCTGCATTGATCGCTTTGATAATGTTATAAAACAATTAGTTCATGCTGCAGCTGTGCGTATGTCGAGATATTGAGCACTTGGGAAGTTTGGAGAGCACTCAAGAGGCTAGAGTTGCACTCGGCTGCGCCTCGTGCAACTCTTACGCCTCTTTCGTGCTCTCCAAACTTCCCGCGTGCTCAATATCTCGACATACGCACGCTGACGCATGAACTAATTGTTAATTGAAAAAGCAATTTGAGCCGCTAGTTTCAACATTTCAGTTGTAATAAAATACAAGATTTCCGAAAACTTTTGACGTGAAAACGAGAGAAAAGAAATAATTCAAAAGCAACTGTTCTGTTACAGCGCGCGACTAGTGACAAATATTGTTCAATTACTTTAGCACCTTCATTATACGGAAGCCTCCCTCGTTCAAGCAGTTCACTTGGTTTCAACACTTACAGTGGAACCTCGATATAACGAGCCTCTAGATAACGAAGTCCTCGTTATAACGCACGATATTCTTCGCCCCAGTACAGTGGAACCTCGATATAACGAACCTCTATTTGACGAAGCCCTCGTTATAACGAACGATATTCTTCGCCCCAGTACAGTGGAACCTCGATATAACGAACCTCTATTTAACGAAGCCCTTGTTATAACGAACGATATTCTTCGCCCCAGTACAGTGGAACCTCGATATAACCAACCTCTATTTAACGAAGCCCTCGTTATAACGAACGATATTCTTCGCCCCAGTACCGTGGAACCTCGATATAACGAAACCTCATTATAAAGAACGCTATTCTTCGCCTCAGTACAGTGAAACCTCGATAAAACGAAACTCTATATAACGAAAACCTCGTTATAACGAACGATATTCTTCGCCCAGTATTGTCATAGTAAAATACCGTATATGAAAAAGAACCTCGATAAAACGAAACCTCGAAATAGCGAACATATTTTCACAGTCCCTTGACCCTTCGTTAAATCGAGGTTCCACTGAACAATGTTGAGGTCTATAATACATTTAATTAGCGCAAAGCTCAAGAGCTTCCTTTCCCGCCTTATTAATAACGATATATCTGTATCAGCCTTTAACTCTTTACAGAGAAACTACACTAGATGTCACTATCGCGTATTTATGACCTGAATTCGTTAGCCTCACGCATCAGACGGTGAAGAACAAACCATGAAACGAAGAAAAAGACAAGAAATATATGTCCTCCAGTGCAATTTAGGTAGTTTAACCCTTTAAACCCCAAGATCAAAATTAAAATTCTCATTTCTCGCCCCTACTCATTTCCTACAGAAATAGTGGAGAGAAGTTGATGAGATATCAACCAAATTCATCTTGTGTGATCATGTTCGTAAATCTCATAACCACTCTGTTTTACGAAGCATTGATATTACAAGGAGAAATTTGATGCTGATCACTCTTAGGGCTGTGCAAAATTTTACAAAATGGCAAGTTGTGTTTCATTACTTCAAGCAGTGTTAAATATCACGTCATTGGCGAACATTGAATGTTAAACTCACTAGCAAGCTTTTCAACAGTTTTTACATTGCTCCATTCGACCTTACGCCCTTGTTTAATCTCAAGACCAACTTGGTCATAATGACGTTTGAGTAACTCCAAACATGTATTGGCATAGTTACCTGTACACGGTGTTTCGTCCACAGATTTAATGAACTGAAGATCGTGGTTGAAAAGAACAAAATTATCGCTCAGTGAAACTGTACGATTAGAGCATATATCCAAATTATTTCCTGCCGCTTCGTGTGACAAGCAGTAGCTTACAATAACGTTTGAAGAAAGAAATGGGGCGTATGGTACGTGAAAAGTTGTTTGAGGCTCCGACAGAATAGTTTCTACATGTTCTGGTCTAACAGTATGATTGGTTGGAAACTTCTTATTATATTCCGCCAGGTCATCACACATCTCGAAATTCCAGTCGTAGCGGTCTCTCTCAAAGTACCACGCATAACTGAGCACAACGCAGACTGGAGAGTGCGGGACGTGGATTAACTTCTTGAAGACCTCATCAAAGTTACGCGTCTTAAATTTTCTCAGTATATACTCTCTACAGTGAGTGAAGGTGTCCCGATATATGTACACAGGAAAGAAGGACATAAAATTAGCAACCATTGGAAACCCAAGGGCCAGTTCCAATGTGTGTGCCCAAGACTTTATCCAATTCCTACCCAATTTACAACCTGTTCCTAAAGTTCTTAACTTTGTGCCATTAAAAATGGAAGATTTCGTTACTGGAGTTATGAAAGCAGCGTCATTATCCATCCAGGCAATAATGCTGTCATTTGAATACAAGTCGATAAAATAACTGCTCCAGAGCTGCCTGTTGTAACCGGGTTTTCTGTGTATCCCTGGAAAATCCAACGTACTTTTGTCTTTTGGAAGAGCCTCATATAAGACTTCAAGCTTGCGATCAGGAAAGTATCTTTTGGTCTGATCCATTATTTTATCGCCAAATTTATGATCCTCTTCGGTTTCTTCGTCAAGTACCAAGACTATTTTTCCGTACGAAGAAGGCCAGTAAAGAACAGTAGTCCTGAACAGATCACAGTAATATCGTTGCCTGTGATCTGGCAATTTACCAGACATCCTGACAAATAGACTTAATGAGGTATCTACGGCTTCTTTGGCGGCCGCTTTGGTTGTCCCGATTCCTGCGCTGGATGGGTTGCTGTCCATGTCTGAGATCTGGGGTCGCAGTGATCTTAAAGTTCTCTCTTTTGGAACAACATGAATGACGAACATCCCTATGGCTAGGAGCGTTAAAACGAAACAGGTGATAAGAACGTCTCTAAGTTTAAATTTCCTTCTCAAAATCATCGTTTGTTCGCACAGAAGTCTTCTTCTGGACACCTGTTTAAGAGAAAAGATCGACAAACTCTAATTAAAACAAAAAAGTGTGCTCTAGCCACAGGGTCTAGAGGAGATGTGTTTGTCGTTAGAACATCAAAACCCGTCGAAAACCTCTGAAAAATGGGTTATTTTGATCGCGTTACAGTTTCGTTACACATTCTATAGACTGCAAACCAAGAGACTGAGGGCTCGCAAGATCGGCTTACAGTATAAAATACGGAAAAGGGAGGAAACAAATTTGGGGCCGATTTTCGAATCCCTGAAACTCAAATGGAATTGAATGAAATCGCCTGATTTTACTAACCTGATCTAGAATTCTTATGTTTTTGCCAAATACTGTAGGAAAACGGCTTAAAAAAGCGTTCAAATTCATTTTCGGCGACCGAAATTTACGGCTTCGAGATAGCGCTTTCGTTCCCTGTGCACCGCAACAGATGGTGACGGAAATGACGTAGTAAAGTAAATGTGCTCAAGATCGTAGCAATAAAAGAGAAGCCTACACGACTTTTGCCTCATGCCAAAATGTTGCTCATTCCAATAAAGTTTTTTTCCTCTGCTGGGTAGATTATGCTCTGGAAGGTTCTACATTTTCACTGAGCAAATGTGATTTAAGCGGGGATTTTATCGAATTTTAGCCGCATGTTTCACACTGAGAGGTCATGACACATGTCGATTTACTGCGGTTATTGTTTTTGGTCGAGAGGATTTGCCCTCTGATGCAAGCGCATTTTCTTTGACCTCTTTGGAAGCGTAAAGCTTTTTATTACGGCTGAATAAGGGTTCCAATTTTCTCCAAAGAGCCTTCTGGATGTGAATAACTAAGCGATTTTCTTTAGTCCGTGAATATAATGTTTTTCTGCAATGCTGTATCACGCTGGGCCCAGCTCGATAGGTTTGTTTGGAGAATGTTAAATTATTACGGATAGAGATTTACGGGTCGTGTGTACTCTTGCAATAAAACGTGACACTGAGTAGAGCGGACGTACAAGGCAACTGTAATATCATCCAACTGTACCATTCTTCGGTGGTCCCAACTATATTACCTCTTGCGTCTTTGGCTGTGCGTTCTCTGACTACTAGGAAGCCTTCGCAAGAGCAAAACCTGTTTAAGACATCGAAGACTGTTGACACCTACAACAAATGTCCAGTCTTGCAATTGAAAGATCTTCAGTTCAATTAAAACTCTGTTGCCCTCGCATAGATCTCTGAGATCTTTAAAACTCTCTCCGCAGCTGATGTTTTGATTCTCTAATTAGCAGCGGTCTGTTGCTTTTGCGTTTCCGGTCTCATTCACTTCCGTCACCGAGTGATGCGGTTCACAGCGAACGAAGTCACGTGGTACAAGTTGCCTCCCTTGTCCTTTCTTTTACTCGGTACTTCGTGCCTCGGTCGCCCTTTGGGCGACGGCCTCCGGTCACCCTTCGGGCGGCGTGCCGTGCGCCAGCGAGGATATGGCTTGCGGTTATTGATTTTCAAAAGTCGATCTGGGTGATCTGGGTCAGATAGGAAGCGAAGAAATCGTTTACAGTAGATTTATAAAGGTCCCATTGGGCTAATTAATCGTGCTAAGCGATAGGTATAGACATTTTTCAAGGTGAGACGTTAAATAAGTAATTCATTTATTCACACCAAACTCCTCTGGACCCTGTGCTCTAGCTTTAGACCACGTAGCCTGCGAACAACAGACGCATTTCCGGTCGTCGCTTCCTTCCCTCCGAAAGACCGGAAATGCGTCTGCTGTTCGCAGGCTATAGACCACGCGGACTCGCAACATTGTGGCCAACAGGGCTGGTGGCCAACAGTGATGGGAGTTGTTGCGTCCGTTCGCTTTTTGTTCGTCCGCCTCTTGGGAATTTTCAGTAATCTTACGCACAATAAAGTATACAAATCAGCATCACAAAGACCGTTACTCGAGGCGGAATATTACACTTGTGATGATTCACTCAAGTGGGACGATGGCATTCACTTTCATCACATCTGGCCTGCGTAGCAGGCGTCGAAAGGGGTAGGGGATAGGGAGGAAGGGAAAAAGGGAAGTTTCAGGGAAAACGTCGAGTCATTTTTGGAACATGCAATTAAGTGAGCTAATTTTCTATTCATTGAAGGGAATCCAAGACATGCTTGGATGCTTGGATTATTTGTAATTTGCAAATGGAAATTAAATGATTTCCTTTGTTTCCTGTCCGGTTATAGACAATTTGAAAAGATTTCAAAAACAGAAATTTCTCGTCATTTTTCGCCACGCTCTATTATCTGAACGCCTGGCACAGGCTATGGCCGGAATCTCTATTACCACACAGGAAAAAACCGCCAAGTCAATGGGTCGGTCTAGCAGGGAATCCGCTTAAAAAACACCACACAAATACCCTGTTCAAGACGCTTTTAAGAAAGAATATGTATATCCCGTTGAATGCGAAAACTTTGAAAACCATACCTGGTTGAAGGGCACGGGAAGACAACGTATTTAAGTCACAACGGCTATATATATTATACTACTCGAATTGCGGGCGTTTAGCTCGAAAGTCGATTCGGCCGAAGGCGTTCGCTAGAGCTTAAGTCGGTTCGCCCGATGACTGAAAACACTCTACAACATTCTGAACCTATAGCTACTTCTACGAGATGTTATTTTAGTTAACCTTGGATGCCACTTGTCTGGGAGACTGAAATGCCATTCCACTCATTTCCTTCCCGGTAAAAGTCACTTTGAAACGATTTCAAAAACAAAGAATGCAGTAAAACGTCATTTTTAAGAGCAAATGTCTGTACAAATCGAGCAACATCGAAATTTAGCGGCCACAGTCAAAAAATCATTTTCGCTCATATCTTGTCCATAGATAGGCATAAGTAATTAACTAAACGTGGTGTAGTTTGTTTTTCAAAAGGCCGCTTGGATTTGAAGAGGGGCCATGAACGGCAAAGCATATTGGGATTTGTTGACTTTTAAGGTGATTGTTGAATGTGATCGATGTCCATGAATGTGATCAAATTTGAATTCTTAAATTATGCAGCATTTGGAGCAGTTAACGGACCGTACGTTCTGCACACACCGGCACTATTACTCACGGTCCGTATGCTGAGCACATACGGAACGTGCAACTCATTATTACATGAGGGCACAATGCGCTCAGGGGGGGTACTCGGGATTTCAAGTGACGGGGATGATCGAATGGAGCCAAAAGTCAAGACCCAAAAAAATCCCTAGGGCTTTCAGAAAAACCCAACAAAATCCCTGGACCAAAATTTAACCCCCAAAAAATCCCATGCCGATTTTGTGGCCCTTAAAAGTTCCAGAAAGGGGTAAAACACATATAAATATGTTCGGGCCACGTTAACGGGCTCTTTAAAAAGCTCTCAAATGCATAACACAAAGAAAAACATTGGAAATTTAAACAACAGCAAAACACGTTTGTTTGTACTTTATTCGCAGAACTACGCAGCCAGGGCACAACCGATTCCTTTTAATACCCCCAAAAAATCTCTACTCAAATCAAGCTACTCAAAAAAATACTTGCCAAATTTTCGTACCCAAAAAAATACCGGAATCGAAAATTTCAAACCCCCAAAAATCCTTCGATCATCCCCGTCACTTGAAATCCCGAGTACCCCCCCTGGGACGATGCTTTACGGTTCGTTCGATCCGTACGGTCCGTGAGGACCGTGAGGGACAGTGCTTTGTTGTCTGTACTTGGTCACACTTGTAAATCATAGATAATTAATAGGTAGCCAACCACAATAGCCTCCCCGCAGACGTCCGTTGGGGTTCGGTTGTCACGCATTCATTTCTCCCCCACGGGGGAGAAATGAATGCGTGACAACCGATCCCCAACGGACGTCTGCGGGGAGGCTACAACCACAAGTGATGTTAATATTAAAAAAAATAGCTGCACATAATTAATTATGTATTCAGTTCGTTTCATGTTAAGTTGGAGTTACATACGACAAAAGTCGCCGTATGTTTAATTCAAATCTGTCGAATTTAGGTGAGAAAAACGTCGAACTTCATATGCATTCAATTCCCGACTTTATTGAGTCTGCACATATGAAAATCCACGTTTAAACCGGGCCTCAGTCGAAGATGCTGCATTATGCATTATATTAGAGTCGCATTTAATGCAAATGTGTCGAATTTAACTGAGTGAAACGTGGAGCCTCATATCCATTTGATTTAATTCCTATAGTTCTTCACAGATGAAATTCGATTTGTTTCCTGCAGAGACAACTTAAGCATAAACTAGTTCTGTTTCTTTCAGATCGTTTAACTTAATTCCAAAATCATTGTGATATTAGGTCCATTTATACGAGGAAAAATAAGACGCGTCTTACATAAGACGCGTCTCAAATAAGACGCGAACTGTCCGTATAAACGGCACATTTCGTCACGCGGCTTAGCTAAGACGCGTCTTACATGTATTAGATAAGACATGCTCGTATAAATGGTACAGTTCGCGTCTTATTTTTCTTCGTATAAATGGCCCTAATATACAAATCAAGCGT